TGAAATGAATATACAGCCTGTAAATTCTTAGTGGTAAGAGTTGGCCCAAGACTTTTTGCTGCCTGAAGTAAAATAGCAAATGGTGCCCAGGCACCCCACCCAAAATTCAAAGTACATTGAAAAACAAGGATACCCACTTAGTTTGGCAACTGAAATGTAAAATGTAAGAACCACCCCTCTAGCCTTGGAACTTCAAGTGGAATTGTATTAAATTAAATCAATCACTATTTTCTGCCTTTTTATACTATCCCATATCAGCTTCCCATAGTAGCTGTCTTACTCTGCCTAAAGGACTCTCCCCCCACATCTGTATTGATTAATCCTGTTTGAAAGACACTAACCCTTAAATCCAAAATAGATATGAAATAGCATCACATCTGCCCTGCACCAATTTTGTGTGTGTGTGTGTGTGTGTGTGTCTGTGTCTGTGTCTGTGTCTGTGTGACTGTGTGTCTGTGTGTGTGTCTGTGTGTCTGTGTGTAAAGCAGCCTTGGGAGTCTGTGAAGGTCAGTACTTAATACAAGCTGCCTCTAACCAGCTTCTCTGCTGTGTGTGTGTGTGTGTGTGTGTGTGTGTGTGCGAGGGTCAGTGAGTGTGGTTTTAAAAGTGGGCAGTCTACCTGAAGCATGGGAACAAGGAGTAGGATGTATTGTGCTGGCCAGAAGCATGATCTGATTGCCTGCCTATGTTCACCTCTGTTATCTCAGTTTTAAATCCATAAGGGAGCCAAGCTTCCACAGCAGCTGAAAAAAAAATCCCTATGAGCTATGTTTTTTTTTCCATGATATTGATTTTCACAATAAACCAAAGCTGAGAAGCAACCTTTCCATGAGATATGTTGGGGTGGATACTTCTTAGGCAGAGGATGGTGGGAGCCAATAAAAGCAGGCTGGCTCAGTATATTCTGTGGCCTGAGGCCGAACAGCGAATAATGTATCCCATTCCCTCAAGTCAAGGTAAATGGCACCCAAAGGTGGCAAACATGTTTAGGATAGATGAAATAGAAAGTCCCACAAGCACTTCTCTCCCACCTCTAGGAGGAAGAATACAAGTACAACAAGTAATTGACCAGTTGTTGTGGGGTTTCCGGGCTCTTTGGCCATGTTCTGAAGGTTGTTCTTCTTAATGTCAGAGCACAGAGTGCTACTTCTGTCCTCTGAAGATGCCGGCCACAGAGACTGGCGAAATATTAGGAAGAACAACCTTCAGAACACGGCCAAAGAGCCCGGAAACCCCACAACAACCATTAGATCCCGGCCATGAAAGCTTTCGCGAATACAAGTAATTGACCCATAATTTGCTGACTTTTCATTACACCCCATATCTGCTGACTGAGGCGGTTGCCAGGGATGTTGTTGTAGAAGTGGCTGTTGTTGTTGTTGTTGCTATGTTAGTAGCAGTAGTACTACTTTGCTATTATGAACGCGCAGGAGTGTGACTATGTTATGTCAGCACTGGCATCATGGCCACCTGATGAGGCAGTAATTGACCCATAATTTGCTGACTTTTCATTACACCCCATATCTGCTGACTGAGGCGGTTGCCAGGGATGTTGTTGTAGAAGTGGCTGTTGTTGTTGTTGTTGCTATGTTAGTAGCAGTAGTACTACTTTGCTATTATGAACGCGCAGGAGTGTGACTATGTTATGTCAGCACTGGCATCATGGCCACCTGATGAGGCAGGCCTCAGAAATGGCCTACCACCCACCACAAAACTACACACTTAAAGCACGGCATACAAATCAAAATCAACCCCCTCCTCCAGTTCTTCTAGTGTTTAAATTATGGAGCAGAGATCTATGAAGGGGGAAAATATATAGTGTGCCATTAAATTGGAAATAAAGAAAAGTTGCATTGAGCAGTTATGGAAGGCAGTTTGGGGGGGACGATTTACAAGGCCTCACAGGACCAGAGGGGGAGACTTCTGGTGAAGGCACCAGAAAGTAGCAAGGTGGGGGAGCCCAGGGCTGAGGCAGCCCAAAATGGATGTTGAGACTGCCTGGCTTTATCTGACTAATGAAAAGCAGCAAGCGTGTCAGAGAATGTGAGAGCAGTGGATCGATGGAGAGATAAAACCTGAAATGAAGGCAGCTGGAGAAGCAGGCTTGGGGGAGAGAGAGAGAGAGAGAGAGAAGGTAGAGGAGCCCTGTCAAGGACTGGGGTTGTGTGTAGTACACCTCCAAATCCAAAAGAGTGCAAGTGTTTTGGCATTAATTTTTTTAAAATTTTCATTTACATTGTGACTTTTCTTGCATCCATCTGGAACGAGGTGGGTGATGATGTAGATCACTTACTCCAAACAGATGAAGAAATAGTTTGTGTCCCCTGCAGTTCTAAGGGCAGATGATGTCGTAGCAATAACATACTGAGACTGTAGGCAATTAGAAGGCAGTGTGGTATGATGCATGTAGGACCAACATACCCTTGCATGCAGCTCCCATTTGTGTCGGTGGGAATTCTACAAGGAATATCTCAAGGTTTATTTGATGGACAGGAATGCCATTTATATTTCCTGCTTCAAGCAACAAAATGCTTTGCCCACCACCACCGAGTAGAGTGGGGAGATAGCTTTCCAATATAACACATTTTGTTCTTCTTGAAGTAGTAGGATTCATGGGAATTCTGACATAACACAAATGCAAGCAGAGCTTCCTTTTAGCGGAGGAAGAGAGGTGGGGTGGCTGTTTTTGGATGCACCAAGTAGCTCTGGCTTACACAAGTGTTTATTCTGGTTTTCTTAGTAAACAAATTGTTAGTTGGTCCTTGTGTGAAAACAACAGCTTGGTTACCATCCCTGAACATGGCAGACTATTCTGGAGGAAGGCTGGTCCGTTCATCCATTTTTTAATTAAAGGTCGCCAAAAGGGGTCATGGCAATGTTACACAAAGGTTGATCTTTCATTATGGAACTCTTCAGAAGACACAGGAAAGGCTCTGGTTTTCAGTTCTGTGATGGGTTCCTTTTACACCCAATGTTTTCCTTTCAACTGAAGGAAAAAGCTCTTGAACAGCAAGCATGTTCTCATATTACTTGTTGATCAATGCCAGGCCAAGATGTCTTGCTGTCCCTTCTTCTCACTAGGACTACTGCTTAGGCAACTAGTCGCTGTGCTGCTTGAAACAGGCTCTTTTCACACTGTTGAATATCAGTCAATCCATTAAGTTTCAGAGCTGAGCATCAAATGCTTTTTTATATATTGGAGAAATGGGCTAAAACAAATAAAATGAATTTCAGCAAGGACAAAGGTAAAGTTCTGTATTTGGGCCAGAAAAAAAAACACATGCATGAATATACAACAGGTAACATCTGGCTTCACAGCATAATGTCTGAAAGCAATCTAGGGATCTTAAGTTAAATATGAGTCAACTATGTGATGTTGCAACAAAAAGGCTAGCACAGTGCTAAGGTGCATCAACAGGATGATAGTGTCCAGATCAAAGGAAGAAATATACTGTTACATACAGCACTGATGTTACCTGTCTGTCATGGGTTTGGAGGGAAAGTTCCATCCTATGGGGAGTGGAAGGCGGGACATCAGGAGGAGGGGCTGTACTGTATAAGTTCTGTATTTGGGCCAGAAAAAAAAACACATGCATGAATATACAACAGGTAACATCTGGCTTCACAGCATAATGTCTGAAAGCAATCTAGGGATCTTAAGTTAAATATGAGTCAACTATGTGATGTTGCAACAAAAAGGCTAGCACAGTGCTAAGGTGCATCAACAGGATGATAGTGTCCAGATCAAAGGAAGAAATATACTACTCTATTCTTCTAACTATACCTGGAAAACAGTACTGTGTTCAGTTTGGAGTACCACAGTTTAGAAAGAATACAGATGAACTGGAAGATATTCAGAAAAGGGTGACAAAATGGTAAAGGATCTGGTACAGTTGGGAGAGTCAGATAGGTTTAGCCTGGGAAGAGATGATGTTATAGATCAGTGGTTCCCCACCTTGGGTAACTCAGGTGGTCTTAGACTGCAACTCCCAGAAACCCCAGCCAGCACAGCTGGTGGTGAAGGCTTCTGGGTGTTGCAGTCCAAAAACACCTGGGTCATCCAGGGTTGGGAACCACTGCAGACCATTTGAAGTATGTAAAGAATGCTCATGTAGAAGATGAAGCAAACATGTTCTCTGTTGATCCAGAGGGGAGGACCTGAACCATTGCATTTAGATGCTAAGAAAGGATATTCCAAGTAAACATAAAGAGTGACTAGCTGATGGTGAGAGCTGTATGATAGTGGAACAGATTTCCTGAGAAAGTGGTGGAGTCTTCTTGATTAGAGCTTTTTAAATAAAATTGGATAACCCTCTGTCAGAGATCATTTAGCTGGGATTTTCTGTATTGATGGGGGATCACACCTGATGATATGGGGGGCTCTTCTAGTTCTACACTTCAGTGATTCTATGAGTAGGGATGCTATAATGACATTATCACCTGAAGTTAATACATGATTCCCCACAGTATTCTAGCATAAAAAATTATTTTAGAACACATGGCGAAATCAAAACACATGACAATTTTAAAGGTCAGCTCCCAATCATACCACTATATCCCTCTATCAAACAGTTATTCACCATGCCAGGTCATGCGTTAAGTCTTTCTCTAGACATTTAATTAAAAAGTACCCAAGTGTAGCCTCTTAGAAAAGTCCAAGGTTATCTATGTGGTTTAAGTTTGGCTGTTAGATGTGACTACACTTTTCCGATTTCCTTTTCAAAAATTTAGATTTCATGCAGAACTTATAGTTATCTCATAATTGATAGAAATATTGCATTTTATCATGACATGCTGGATATTAGTAAGGAAGACAATAATATGGTGCCACTAAGAAACCAGTAGGGAAAAGGTTCAACTTCTCTAACGTATTCAATTGCAGATCCTAGAAGGGAATTTCCAGTGTGAGGTCATTAGCAAATCTATGAAACATATTACACCAGGGATCAGCAAATTGCAGCCTTCCAGATGCTGTTCTTTAATACTGGCTATGTCGGCAGGTCTGATGAGAGCTCAAGTCCAGCAATTTCTGACATTTCAAGTGTGCAGTTTGTCAACCTCTGCAGCAAGTCTGGGAATGGTAAGTTTGCCACATTAATTGTCGTCCTCTATTTATTTGATTAACACCATTCTTCCTGCTATGACCAGCGTTTGGATTATTATAATTTTTTCCTAAAGGAACTAGTTTCATTACTCTTATTGCTAGTTATTCTTCTCTTATTAGCTGCTCCTCTTGCAAAAAGCAATCTGTTGCATTATGCATTCCTGTCATTATTCTTACCAGGGCTGCAGATCATGGGTCACCATGTCCTTCAATCACCAGCATCCTTTAAGTCCTACATGCTTTCTGGCAGAACATCATTTCTGTCTGTTCATCATTAGATATATGATTGGGAATACATTCACAACCACTCTGGTTGGATATTCTGTTTGCTAAATTGGCTCTTCTTGAATCCGTTTAATGATGGGTTGTATTAAACAACTTGTGTTCTGCATGGTAATGTGATACATATATTGAGATACCTTTCATCATTCAGATTTTAGATTTGCTGATGAGCTCTTGAAATGTCAGGTCATGATGATGCTCTGGATTTATCCACTGTCTTTGGTATAACTATAACTAGAATGTTCTTTCCTTGACATAACTGTGTCTCAGCACAACCATCTATTTGCTGATGACATGTGTCTATGTATTCAATACTCTGAATTCTGATTCTTACAGGTGCTATTGCCATTTTAAAAGCTCATTGCTGATGTAATTGGCACCTTCTTTCCCCCCATCTCACTTGGACCCCATCTTTCTGCCATGTACTTGGTGTATATAAACCTGTGGCCTGACTATTATCATTCATTTGTCTGAGGAAATGGGTTGTTATTTCAGATCAGAATGTGTTATTCCTTATCATTCTGAACTAAATCGGTCCTTAAGATGCTACAACTTTTTTATTTTTGTTCTGTACAATACATCTGCTGCCCCTTAAGACTCTTCATTGATTTTGTTGCAACAGATTAATATGACTACCACACTGGAAGAGAACAGTGGTTGGCTAGATTATCTGTCAGGAGTGCTGAATTTTGCTGAAAATGTAGGATTGCAAGCAACCTGTTCTCAGATAGTGGTTTATGACAAATATACATGTAATGTAATGCATGTGTAATGCATATAGGTGAAGTATAGCGTTAATACATCATAAGTAACTGTAACAAATTGTAGCCCTTTCTTTCATAGCAACAACAGTGTAACATCACATTTTAAAAGCACAGTGATAAGTGTGAATAAGAATGAGTTGTCTCTGTGTGTGTGCATTTGTGTGCATGCATTTAAGAAATAAAATTTATGATGCTTTTAAAGGGCATTTCTTGAGGCATTTTAAGCAGAATTGTTCAAGTTTTATGCCATTCTTAGTTGTTGTTATTATTGTTGTGTTTTTAATAATAGAAAACATAATGGGAAAGCACAATGAATTAGAGGGGGAAATCACCCCTTTCAATCCTATAGTTACCGTAATTTGGAGGAACTTGCAGTGAGTTACTATAGTAGCAAATTACTTTTTAAAAGCAACATTGCAAGATCTGACACACACACCCTAGGAGGCTGCCCTGCCAAGCAGCAACCTGGGACAGGCAACAAATCTGAGGAACCATAGAAAGGTAGAGTGACATGTCTGGTTCATGAGGCAAAGTATACCTATTAGGCTTAATAAGAGCTATGTGGAAATACAGTTTTAGCTGTAAATATTACTGCCCTGGGCAATGCCAGAATTCCAGGATCATACTTGCTAAGCACTGAAAGGATTATTGTATTCCACTGTATAAATCAATGCATCAAAATGCACAAATATGATGGCTTATACCTGTAGAAAGTACAAAAATAATGGCAAGTGACTGCAAAACAGGAAATCATGCTTCTTCAAGAATATTCATGATTTCTGCGTATTTTCTCTTGTTGCCCTTACTGCCTTTTGGGATGCTCTAGTCTAGGTGACCATGGCCTTACTTTTACTAGTCCCCCTAGTTATTTTAATCACACCCAAACATGGGCAATTGAAACAATCAGGGCTTCCTTTCTTGCTTACCCATGGCTCATCTTTCCCTTTTCTGTTGGGTCTGTGTTCTTGATTGTAAGCCCCTTGAAGTAGAAACTTGTCATAACCATAGAGTTGTGAAACGCCATGGGAATTGATGATAATTTCGGAATAAATAAATACATGTAACTGCAGCATCAGTGCTTGCTTGAACCTCGTGGATAGACACAGGCTACCCTCCTCTTCGGTTTTTGTTTGTTTGTTTTATCGTCGGTCAGACCAGTTATTCTGTAAACTATCAAGGTAGGCCCTAAGAAACAACAATAAAACGGATCTAGATATCTCTAGGTCGTAGCTATACACATACATCTTGTGGTGTAGGAGAGTGGAAGGTCTGTTTTGCGATTTCTGTTAGTCCTGACTGTCAGGATCCTGATCCCTGGAGTATTTTCCCTTATACTCAGAGGAAGTGTCTCCTCACATTTTGAAAAACGCTTCTCGCCTAAGTATTTTGTGCTTTTTATTCTTTAAAAAGCACTGCTTGACGGGGGCGCGATATTTTGGGAGGGGGGGAGGGAGAGCCTTTAAAAAGCCGCTTCGCTCCTGTTCCCACACTCGACAGCCTAAGGCGCCACCGCTTTGGAAAACGTGATCCTAAGCGTCTTTGCCGAGAAATAAATCCTCCGGGGTTCAATGTGTCACGTTCACCTCAGCCGTAATACACGCGCGGCAACAACTTTGTGGCTTTTTCTCTTTTTTGGGGGGAGGAGGACTTATGAAAACTGAGATTTTACTGCTCATTGAGGAAGGAGTCGATGGCCGACACGTGTGCGTTATGTGTGAAGGTTGCCACTCATTCTCCCTTGTTTCTTTATCCGGCAGTTGCTCTGTCTCTTTTTTTAATACAATGCGAAGTGGTGCCTCATTTACTTGGCAAGATGAGCTCATCAGTCAACCTGAGGGGACCACCTCGCCCGTCTCCTGTGGACAGGTGTGTGTGTGGGGGGAGGGCATTGCCCTTCTCGCTTCCCATTCAGGAGAGAAAAGTGGAAAGCTGGGCAAGCGAGCCGAGAAAGTTCGAGAAGGAAAGCCCCCTTTGGGACTGCACGCCAAAGCTGGGACAACCCAGGTCGTGACACAGTGGGGAGGGTGGCCACCCCTTATTCGCCTGAGGACTGAGGCGACGCGGCGCTCCCAGCGGGCGCCCCACGAACGAAGCGCGAACGGCCACGGCGGCGAAAGCTGTCACGGAGGGAGCGGGCGGGTCCGAGCCGGGGAGCGGTTGGCCAATGAGAAGGCAGGGGGCGGGGCCCGGGAGGGCGGCGGTGACGTCACCAACCCGGAAGTGGTCGGTCCCCTGGCAAGAGGGCCGGGACGCTTCCCCAGTGGTACCAGCACCTAGTGGGGAAGGGGAGCCCTCAGGTATGAACGCGGGTGGGGGCGCCAGGCAGGAATCAGGTCGGCACGGGTGGCCTCCTCCCTCGCCCGCTGCTTGGGTCTCTTGGATGCGTGCCGTCGCGGGGGGGGGGCGAAGCATGTGGGAGAAGCAGCTCGGCCGCGTCCCTCCTGCTTGGACGTGAAGCTGGAGCTGCCCTCCTGAAAGTGGGGCTGCGTGTCGTTTTCTCCCCCCTCTTGCCAGCCTCCCCCTCCCCACAACTCCCAGTCCACTTCTTTGCACTGGCCCTGCTTCCTCGTGTAGCTGCTTGCCTCCTTTCTCCTGGTTGCATGAATGGTTTCTTGTGTTTTTCCAAATCACCAGCTTCCAAACCCTGCACTGGGCCCTGTTTATTTACACACGGGGGATCTGTCACTTTCTTCTTTGCTGCAGGAATGCATAATCTTGAGATAGCAGATGGGTGCCTTAGTACACAAGTCGGCCTGTTATTGCTGCAGCAGCGGGAGTGGACTGCGGTGGCTGTTAGATTTAAGTGTTTGGCATGAGATTATTTTTAGATTCTCCTGTAAGTAATGTTTTGCAAATGCTTGAGCAAGTACATCAGGGATTGGCCGTTGTGAAGCAAAATCAGGAACACTAACATTTTCATATTGCATTGTATTGTGTTGCCATTGCTATATATTTTTAATTTGTGAGTTGCCCGGAAGATAGATATATATATATATAAGAAAATATCCAGCTGGTGTAATAATAACTGTATAATGTATTGATGGTCAAGTGTAATAGGGCTTGATTGCTTTAGGGAAAATATGGCGGGGGAAGGGGCTTTTTTTTTTGTTTTTTTTTTCT